GGGTTCCCTCCAGGTGCTCTGGTTTCCTCCCACTGTTCAAAGGCATGCAGTTTGTGGAGATAGGTTAATTGATTAGTCTAAATTGCCCATAGGTGTGAATGTGAGCGCGAATGGTTGTCTGTCTCTGTGTGTTAACCCTGCGACAGACTGGCAGCCTGTCCAGGGTGTACCCCGCCTCTCACCCTATAACAGCTGGGATAGGCTCCAGCGACCCTGAAAAGGACAAGCGGAAGTAAATGGATGGATGGGTTTAAATACTTATTTCATTCAATAACGTGCAAATCAATTTAGAACTTTGATGTAATGTGTTTTACCCAATGAAAATGAAACTACCATAAAAATCAGAGACTGTTCATTTCTTTGTCATTTCTCTAAGTGAGAAAACGTACAAATTCAGAAGGGGATCGCGTATAATTATTTCCCCACTTTAATAGTGAATTGGTAATGTTCCTTTTAAGCAGGAGTTGGTGGGTTTAAATCACAGGCACTCCAAGATATTCCTGATTATTGACCATACAAGAAGTTAGATTATTTAATAAATGGAGAGTTTGTGAGAACATGAGTAAATCTGAATAGTTAGCTTAGAATTTAATTTAATAATGCACTTTTATTGAATTTCTTTCTTAATCTGGCATCATAATCATTCACTCTTCTTTTTTGTGGAACATTCTGGTTTGCTGTACTTGCTGTTTAATTATTGTGTGTTGCCTTGTGGTTCCTTTGGAAACTGCAGTCTCTTCCTTGTAAAGTGGCTAGAGTAACTGCGTTGTGAATAATGCTGCTGTAATCTAAAAAATGAAAATCCTGCCTCTTTATATGCCACAACATCCTGCCTGGATTACCCAAACCTCACCAGCAAGAGTCAAAGAGGAAGTACTTGTTCTTGTGTCCCACCCTCCCCCAACCCCCACCCCCAACACAGCCAATTACAGGCCTTTGTTGCTGCAGTCGAAACCTCATGCCAAGTTTGAGGCTGTGTTATAGCAACACAAACTTTGCGACTGAGAGAAATGAAGGACAGTGATGCATGCTGAGGAAAAAAATGCCCCGTGAGGAGTTTCAAAAAAACAGAAAAGTGTGAAACATGAAAGGCTCACAAAAAGTGTAAGAAAGTGAAAAAGCTGCACATTCTGTGTGAAGGTGCTGATCGAGCATCAGCACCTACAGCAGGGGTCGCCTGTGGGCAGTCACTGCAAACTTCTCCAAAAAACACACACAAGTCAAATTTCTCAGCAAATTTGACTTTATAATAAAACTACATTAAACTACATTCACATCATACTCCCCTGAAAATTATTTCAGGCTGTATCACACTGCTTGCAGTTGTCCATAACAACCATAACCTAAAAGAACTTGGTGATTATTTCATATTTGTCATTAAAAGGGTGCAGAAACTGTACATATGTCTTGTTTATGTTCTGTTAAGTATGTAAGTGGAATAAACAGTGAAAGAGGACAGATAGCAATGAAAATAGGTGCACTGATGTTTCCATCATATTTACATGAACATAAAATGCTTGTTTGCACACTGGTGGAGATTACAGGGCTCTCCAGCAGTGTAAATATTGTTTACTCAGTATTTTGTTTGTCATAATGGAAGAAAAGGCCTTCCCCTTTGCACTATCATAATTGCTACTAGAAGGTGCTTCAGCACAAATACAGTATTTTGGGGCTGAAATAAAGGCTAAAGGTTGTTTAACAATAAAATATAACTATATTTTTGTAATAAGCTGCTGCACAAACTATATAGCATGATTTTTCTCTATGCGAGGACGACCTCCATCTACTCTGATATCTACTTTGTTAAGTTCTTGCTTGCAAAATATGGCCTACAATAAAAAATAACAACAAATACAGCCACAGAGCCTGCATAATGCCATGCAGGTTGTCTATAACTGTGGACACTTAAAGCAAACCTTTCCACTATAGCCACGTTTCACTCTGGTCTCTGGTGTCCCTTGGGTTTACAAATTGCTTTCAGTGTTTCTTCTTCTCTGATGGATTTGTCCCTGTGGCATTGTTACATCACTGGTGTGAAATGGGAGCTCTGGAAAGGAAGCTTTCAAAATGGTGATGGACTGAACTCGAAACCAAGTGTGTTTGAGGCAGAAACACTTTGTAAGTGAAAGATGAACAAACACCTGAACTGAATGCAGGTCACGATCAATGGCATTTTTTCTTTTTCAGGACAAAGGACGGCTTTCCCTGTATTGGTTATAATAAATTGACTTCACCGTCTGCTAGGTTTTTCTGACCCATCCCTGCTTAGTGTTCACTCCTGTCAGAGGGAGTGTAGTCTTTCTGAGCTCTGAGGCTCATTAACACACCATTTCACTCAAGGGAATTCACTGGAACCACAGCAGTCCATATTGATCCCAGTCCAGAACAACTGAAATATAAATGAAGGATTTTCATTGTGTGGACTCCTTTGTGCAACCGTGGCTCACCACTATCCAACAGTGTGTGTATTTACACAGTAACACCACAGAAAGGACATTTGAATTTACTTTGTTGTTTTAAGCACCTAGAGAGAAAACAGTGCTTAATTCATTGACTAACCTCAACTGCTTCCCGAGGACACTGCATCCACTCACTGTCTGAACCTGTATTCCCTGTTGGAATAATCCACAGGCACATTATACATGATTAAACAATTTTCACTGGGAAAAAACAATCCCTAATTACATCACAGAGAGAGTGAGAGCGAGAGCGAAATTTGAATTTGTGTTTAGATGATTTGGCAACACAGTTCATCTAACATTTATGCCAATAAAGAGGATTATTGAAATGAATCGGACGAGACAGAGGCACAAAGACGGAAAGGTAAAAATGGACAGGGTGAAAAATCACAAAGAAGGGAGAATATATCTCTTGATATTCTGTTACTACAGTTGCATGCGAGTCGTATAAACACTGCAGTTTTATGGATTTGTGCTCATAGCTTTTTTTCCCTCCACTTAAGTGAATTTTAATTCATTGCCTTATTTTTTTTATTGTGCCAGCACGCACGCTTTTATCTGCCAGCTGTGTGGAAACAATTATTTGATAAGTCCGACTGAACTTTTTCATTGAACTGAAAGCCAAATCACAATGAAAACCCCCCTAAAAACTCAGAAAAATAACTATTATATTAGAGCAAATGTGTGGTAGATATTCATCATTTGGTTGTTTTGTACATTTGTAAATGCAATTTTGTCACCCTTCATTAGTACCAAGCACCATGTAATGTCATAGAATGGGTAGAGTAGGTACTCTATGCTACACATCCTTCAAAAACTTCTATTCTAAAGTAAAACAAATACAATATGGAAGATATTGATGCCAAATAAATGGAGGAGCAGGTTATATAAATAGATGATGTTTATACTGAATGAAAATTACATTGATGTAATCAGTTAACTCAAAATTAAAGTTTGAGTTCTGCACGCAATTTAGCTGCTTTGCTCTCAGTGTCCTGGTATTACTTCTGTCGGTTCAAGCAACGGTTGGTTGTTAAAGATTTTGGGGAGTGTACTTTGGTTAAACAATGTAATGTATCTTACAGGGCAGGAAAAAACAAATCTAAAATCAACACAAAAACTTTATGATTGAGTCTTTGATTCTAGACAGAATGTGGTGATTTTCTGTCACTTCTTCGTTGTGCTTTCTTCTGCCAATTCGATAGCATTTATCCAGCTGTTCTACTACGCTAAGGCTGCCAAAAAGCTTTCATGCTATTGTCCAAGTGGCTATAGCTACTCTTGTGTCTTTCACACTTTTCTTTCAAGTGCTTTAAGTACCATAAACCCACAGTGGTTGACACAGCAAACACAGAAAGCAAAGGACGCATTGCTCACCCCATATCCAGTTAGCCAACTCTGCTTGTCATATAGCATACTGGAGAATTTCTCTTTTTCATCACATAACATACATAAAAAAACATGAAAGTCAGATATTGAAATGTAAAAATCTGGAATAAAACAGATGTGACAGGTGAAACTCAACATAAAACAAAAGAAAAAGATGAAACTTGCAACATAGAAGCAACACAGAACTCAGTGGACAATTTAAAGGCAAAAAATATGAGAAGGATGATAAAAAACAAAAATCAAGATTCAATTTGACATGAAGAGTCAGGTGTGATGCTATTTTATACTTGCCTTTTTATGAAACAAAGGAAACTGAAGCTGATTCGCTTGTTTTACCAGTTGTGTTATTGTGAATTAAGAAAGCAATTGATAAAGCTATTGATAACTTAGCTTTAAATAATATCCTTAGTCTGATGCAAATAGCTTCATATTTGCACATTTCTCCTTTCAAAATGAAAGTCTTAAATGTATTTTTGTTGTTAGTGTAATTATATTTTCCATATGTTGTGTTAAAATCTGTGCATGTTTAACGTTTTATTAAAGCTAAGTTTAGAAATTTAAAGATACTTTTTGTAATCACCCCCTATAGATTTGAACTAAAACATTTACCACCAGGGGGAAGCATTTTACCGGTGGGTGTGTTAAAATATATTTTTGGTTGGTACTGCTGTTCTTATTTCTTTTTAGCCTTGTCACCTTTTCCTCAAGATTAGCCACCAATGTTAACACAAAGGCTTACTGACTAGCTTGGTTGACCCATCTCATGGGACAATTTGGTACTAATAATATTATTATGGTATTATAATCTCATTTGATAAAATCGTAAACATTTACATAAATTAATTGTTATAACGAGGTAATGGTGGTCGTTTCTTAAAATTCTGTTCATAATAATATAAAACTGAATGAATTAGCTTTGAACACAATAATTCCAGTTTCCAATGGGTACCTTTAACTTACTCTGTGCTCTTTTGCATGCCAGTGAAATTGATTTTACACCTCATGTAACATATTATTAATGTGGCATAAGAGAGAGAGAGAGTCAGGTGGATCAGTGGAGAGAGCAAGAGAGAGAATGGGAAAGGTAGAGCGACATAGTGTCAGCAGAGGGAGTGGAAGAGAGAGAGAAAGTCGCCATTACTGCCTGGCTGTGCTGCTGAGAGGGGAGGGAGCATACAGAGCCAGGTTTCGGCTTTCAACGCATACCACACTAACAGCACCAAAATACACTAAAATACGGGCTAACCGGGCTTGTAGGACTACAGTGGACTACACCTTCAACTAAAACTGACTTCGGATTTTGGGGAAGTCGCCAGTGACCACGGATTGTGGATTGTGAAAAGAGTTTTGATTGCCTTTTAATGTGGGAATGCTTTCTCCTCTTCTCCGTGGTATGTGGATCTGGGAGCGACCATGTTATTAGGTGGGTAGGGGAATGTATTTGGACTGGGATTGGTACTTCATTAGCTAAACTAGCACTCCTTTTTTGTGGGTGAAGGGTGCCCGCACCACTGCGCCATCCCGAGTCAAAAGAACCTGGGATGGGGACGTGAGTCGGGCTTGTTAAATCAGCCAAGGTTGTAATTTTAACAAGTCTTCCCAATGTGAGGCTGTTGCTAACATTAGCCACTAGCTAACTCATCCTCCTGGCATGCTAGGCTAACAGTGTTCGGCTAATGCTAGCTTGTAGGATTGGGAAAGGTGGGTTTTTCCTCTCCTGGAGGAGTATCAGGGCCAAGGCAGGCCGAGCCGGGTATCGCCTTTTCTCTCTAGGGTAGATTCATAACCGCACTATCAGTTCCCGGGGCTCCCAGCATTAGCCTCGAAGGATTGACGCATTAACTTAATATAAAGGTCTGCTGGTTTTAATTCCAGCATAACTAATTCACGTTAACTCCTCTAACTCACTCTCACTCCTCTTTTCTAGACTACTTTGATGTTTTATGTGATACCCACCCGTTTTCAGTTGGCTTTATAACACTGTTACACATATGTTAAAGCAGAAAATTTGAAGTAATCACGGAGTAGGGAAAAAATCGCAGCTGTCGTCTGAGTTTATAGCCTTCACGCCCGCCTCGCATTAATAGGTCGTTTAATTGTTTTTGAGTGTTTTTGGAAGTTGCTGGATTTTCTGCGTTAATATCCTGCTAACATTAGCTCGAGGGGACGGAGGGCTGAGTGGAGGGTCACATCCAGGAGTGCCGCTGGGCAGATTATTGAATTTTCCCGACATTAACGAGGGTGTGTTTACACATACACACCCTTAACGTCTCAGCGGTGCTGAAGAGTTGTAACCGCATATGTCATTAGGTGCTTTTTAACGCCTTTCCCCCCTTCGGTGCCTCACAATACGCAGGCAGGTCAGTGGGTTTGTCCTGCTGCAGCAGCTCTGCATGCCATTTGCATCGACTCAGGCTGCTGCTTCTCCCTTTGCCCCTTTCCCAAACTCTCATTAAAGGGGTAGTCCGGCTTTTATCCAAGACCCCATCATAATGCTTCCTCCCTTTTTTGCTGACCTCGCTGCAAAAAAACTGCCCTAATGCTGAGTTACAGAGATTTTTTTTTATTTTTAAAAGCATCAGTTATTAGTGGGACCCATTTGTGTTGAAAATGGCAATTAGGTTCTTTGTTGTTTCCACTTAGAATGTGCTACTGTGTCTTTTCAGTGTCCATAAAACCATAAGGGTTCACTAAATGATGTGATGGGGCTCTTATGTCCATCATTGTCATCAGTGGCAGTGTGTTTCAGGCTTTTCTCTTCAGCTTTTTCTCCTAAATGGCTTTTTTGGAGAAAAGCTAGAGATCCGGTTACTAACAGTGGTCTGAAAAGTCGAATAAATCCTAGTCTTTCCTTAGAAGATATCAAGATAATATATGTATTGTATCATAGTGTGAAACCTGTAGGGATTTGGTTGAAAGAATGGTAAAGTGTTCCCGTCTTTATCATTTTAACTTTTCCTTTTCTGTTAGAATTGATATTCATGGATAGGCAAGGCTGGAAGGGTTTGCAGTTTTGTCTGCATTGCTCCCAGGAAAAAATGGATATTGGTATTGGCATTATGCTAATATACTGGCAAATATTCATAGCTAGCATTGGCTTCTACAGACTGCATAAAGGCACTGGCACTGACAAGCCCTGCAAGTGATGACGGGGGTGATTGTGTCAGTTGGCCTATAAACTGTTGTTCTTACATCATTCATACCCCCAGGAAGGGGGAAGTCAGATGAGTGACGCCCAGGTTCAGGTCTGTACCTGACTTTGGAAGAGAGTGACACAGTTTTTAAAAAATGAGCGTCTTACAAGGAAGGCACTTTACGGGAAACACCACTGCATACTCTGACACTTGGAGTCAAATTTTTTAGATTTTGATCAGTGTCACAGTGACGAGTTTCCTTTTGATACTGATTATTTCTGGATGTGGTAGATCTTTTGTAGCATTCTGTGGTGGATGTTATGCGCCTAATAAATTGGTGCTTTATATCAATTGTAGTTCTTCTGATGATGGCAGATGATGAATGGTTTTAAAAAGTTGAAATTCAGAAATTCTGGGAGTTAGGCTGTAGCAGTAAACTAGTCCTTAGTGTGGAGGACAAGATTCAATACTTGGGGGAGTCAGTTCCTCCTCTAACAGGGAGCTCACACTACCTTTTAGGAAGTGGTTTCTGTTTTGCTTCTGAGTTCTGATTCTTCACTTCTTGTGGGAGGAGAGCTGTCTGTACCCAGGCCAGTAGAAACTAGTTAGGATGGAATAATAATACTAAATAAATAAAGCAATAAAAAGTTTAATTCTACTGACAAATTCCAGCCAGTGTAGCTTTAAAAGGTTTATCATCATTGGCAGTGTGTTCCGCTGTGTTTCAGGGCTTAACAGCATTTAGTCATCTCTAAAACCAGCTTGCCAAGTGATACCTTAATCCCCCCCTGCAGCCTCACAGTGAATGGACTAATCATGATGCACAAGGCTACTTTTAGCTATTAGTGCAGCATAAATGCAGTTTAGGCTCTAGTGTTGTCTGTTTGTAATAATAAAACCATCACCCGCCCCTTCTGGTTGTCTTCAGTGTGAAGCTAATTGCCCATCACTGCCACTGTTTCTCATGTGTGACACTTATTCATTCATATTGACCTTGTGGATTGACATCTTTGATATAATCTGAAATTAATGCAAAGCAGATGCTGGAATTTGGGTGACAGATCTCAAACACTGAGGTGCCAGGAATGTAGCATTGCAGTGATTAATTTTCAAAACCACGCGAGTAGATTTTGCCGTTTGTAACTGATTGTTTACGTTAGTAACCAGGTGAAGATTCCATATGTATTCCTGGGTGGAGTGTCATCAGTCAGTAGATGGCCTTAGTTTGATGTTTATTGTCATTTTTATATTTAGGCTTGTTTTGGCTGCTGGGGAGACAAACTGGATGTAGTCTATGATCAGTCAGTTAATGTGGCACTAAAAGCAGGATCAGCAATAAGTCAGTTAGAAAGACAGGAAAAAAATACATAGAATAACTTTCTGCCTTCAAAATATCTATAAGCTCGTATATACTTCTATCTGACTGCTACTACAGTCAGGTGTGGCACAGTAGCATGTTGTAGCATATAGTACATAGGTTTGTAAACCTGACAGACTAGCTGGGTGGTTTTGAGATATAAAGATCATGCAGTTTAAAGCACATTTTCTATCATTAAGCCAGTTTATTCCAGTTTATGCTTAAGTTTGGTTTGTAAGTTAGGTTTGGTTTGTAGTCTATTCAAAAAGGATTCTTGGAAGGTGAGCCTTTTAAAATCTTTTTTGTCATTTGACATGAGCCAGTTTACAGCCATGTCCCCTCCTTATTTTTAAACCAAGTCCTTTTTTAATGTCTTTGTTTCTGCTGAGCCCTGTGTACACTCCCATCCCACAGGTGACATCATCACCTTGGTCTCCGTGAAGAGTCGGGGAAACCTCGTCATTTCATGTCAGCAAACCAGATTTCTGCTCTGGTGCAGTTTCTCAGGCTCAGCATGCCGTCGTTCTGCATGTAGAAATTCCAGCACACGCAGGCAGATTCACTGACTGATTGCAACTGTTCTGTAAAAACAACAGTGACTCTAATTGTCTCTGCAGCTATCACTTATCAGCCTCGAGTTAGGTCATGGAAGGTTTCAGCTGTATTTGACCGTGTTATTTACAGAAAGATTGCCCGGTCAATCACATGTAGGCATTTTCTGTTTATTCAATCAGGAATTGCTGATTATCCTGATTGTCGACAGTGAAATGTTTGGTTTCACTTGCTTGTTAATGCTGCTAGTCAAATAGTCAACAGTTATAATCAGGATTAATAGTCAGAACCGGAATATCAGGCAAAATCTATTATGGCAACAGCAAGCAAAGTAATCAGGATTATACATTTACTCTTGATTATGCAAGGCTGGTTTGTGCTGGTAATGGTAACAAATCTGAGAACTGATTTATTTTCTGTTTCTTTCTCAGAGTAAAGTAAATCATTTCTAGGTCAGTGGCTATCAAAGGGCTGGAGTTGCATGCCATTTTTATTCTGCCTCGGCACAAATTGGTTGAAAGCACTTATTTTTCTCAGCAACGGGAAGAGTGACATTGCTGAGCCCTCCGTGACTGTACTACTCTCCCTCTCTTATATAAATGTTGCTGTCACACTTTGGTTGTTGTCTTCCTAGAATGCCATTTTGATATTGCAGTTTTGATAACAAAGTTTTCCCTTTTTCACTTTCAAAATTGTTGTAGGCCTTTGCATCACATTTTTACATTATAAACCTATTGTAGTAGGGTTTTTAAACCAGTGTAGTTTATTATTTACACACAAAAGGGCTGACTAAAACCTCATCAAACCCACGAGTGAGCTTTTTTCCCCTATTCAAATATGATAAAGTGTATTTTACCTCACTTTTTGTTAACACAATCTAATTTTAGATGAACATGTATGATTTTCTTTTATTGCTTCACAAGTTACATGTCCATGTGTGTTCCAGAGCATGATGTAGACAAAAAGAAGCTGATTATATTTTTTATAGTAAGTACAACAGGCTGAAAATGTGGATTTGTTTGATTTGCTTGTATCTTTTCCTAATTTTGAATTCCATATCTTGCAGGCAGGTGATAAAAGGAGCCGTGGGCTGCTCTATCCCAGCTTGAATAAGATCCAGGATAGAAACCGAGATATATACGGAGAAGAGCATTCACTGGAACCAGGGAAAATGAAAATGAATGCATCTCTGTATCACTGACAAGCAGACCTGGGATGATATCATGACCTTTTCTTCCTGAGAGTAACTAGTTTAGCAATGAGTGGGGGGATATAATGGCCAAGAACAAGGATGCACGCCCCCCAACATTCGCCGTCAGCGTGGTTGGCCTCTCGGGGACGGAGAAAGAGAAGGGAAATTGTGGCGTGGGGAAGTCCTGCCTATGCAACCGATATGTGCGTCCAGATGCAGACAACTACTACTCGGAGCACACCTCAGTGCTCAGCACGATAGACTTTGGTGGTCGTGTAGTTAACAACGACCACTTCTTGTACTGGGGAGAGGTGTCGCATCGAGGGGATGAGGGATTGGACTATAAAATCCAAATCATTGAAGAAACGGAGTTCATCGATGACCAGACGTTTCTTCCGCATCGGAGTACGAACTTGCAGCCATACACAAAGCGGGCAGCAGCAACCAAGCTCCAGTCAGCAGAGAAGCTTATGTACATCTGCACAGACCAGCTGGGCTTGGAGCAGGACTTTGATCAGAAGCAAATGCCTGATGGGAAGCTAAACATCGATGCCTTTGTGTTGTGCATTGATGTTAGTAAGGGTTGCAACAGGAAGTTTGATGACCAAATGAAATTTGTCAATAGCCTTTACTCTCAAATTGTCAAGTCAAAGAAGCCTATTGTTGTTGCTGCCACGAAATGTGATGAGTGTGTAGATCAGTACCTGAGGGACCTGCAGGGCTTTGTTGCCAGTAAGAAGAACCTGATGCTGATTGAAACATCAGCACGCTCCAATGTCAACATAGAGCTTTGCTTCAACGCCCTAATCCAGCAGCTGGATAAAACAAGAGGGAAGCCAAAAACTGTGCCATACCTGGAGGCCTATAAAATCCAACGTCAGCTTGCTGCCTCAGCAACAGATAGATTTGAGAAATTGATGGTACACTCAGTTAGAGATTATCACATCACTTGGAAAACTGTGATGAATAATCTAAAGGGGCAGTCTGACTATCATGAGTTCATTACCTTGGAGGGCACCAAGAAGGCCCGCAACATGTTCACAAAGCACATTGCACAACTGAAACAGGAGCACATTAAGAGGAGAAGGGAGGAGTACCTGACGACGCTACCGAAAACCCTTAACAACATCCTCAATAACCTGGACGAGATTGAACACCTTTCATGGCCCGAGGCGCAGAGTGTGATCCGGAACAGGTCTGATTTCCAGTACTGGTTTGTGATACTGGAAAATACACCGTGGGACGAGACGGACCATATTGATAACAGTGACCGTAGGATACCCTTTGACCTTCTTGATACACTGGACGGTGAGAGAATTTACCATAATCACGTCCAGCACCTTCTGTCTGAGAAGAGGAGGGGGGAAATGAAAGAGAGGTTCAAGAAGACATTGGAGAGGGTTCATTTTATCACTCCGGGGCAGCCTTGGGAGGAAGTCATGTGCTTTGTCATGGAGGATGAGGCCTACAAGTACATCACGGAATCAGATAGGAGGGATGTTTACTGTAGGCACCAGCAGGAAATAGTTGAAAGGGCTAAAGAGGATTTTCAGGAAATGCTTTTCGAGCACGCCGAGTTATTCTATGACTTGGACCTGAATGCAACCCCCAGCTGTGACAAGATGAGTGAAATTCACAGTGTGCTGAATGAGGAGCCCAGATACAGAGCACTGCAGAAACTTGCCCCAGATAGAGAGTCGCTCCTCCTCAAACACATTGGGTTTGTTTATCATCCCACTAAGGAGACATGCCTGAGCGGGCAGAACTGTGTGGATCTGAAAGTGGAGCAAGTTTTAGCAAACAGGCTGGTACAGCTCGACCACGGACGCTCTAATCTTTACTATAACAGTGCCAACATCGATAAAATAAACCTCTGCCTCCTGGGAAAGGAGGGTCTCTCACAGGACCTAGCCAATGAGATCCGAGCTCAGTCTACAGACGATGAGTACACTCTAGATGGTAAAATCTATGAACTGGAGCTTCTTCCTGTGGACGTCAACTCCACTTTGCTCTTCAGCCACACATGGGTCACCACTTTTAAGCCACACGGCTGCTTTTGTGTGTTCAACTCAATAGAGTCGCTTAACTCTATTGGCGATTGCATAGGCAGGATAAGGGCGGAGATAGCACAGAGTCGGCGAGATAGATTTGCTCAGCCGCTCCCTTTTATTCTCATCCTGGCAAATCAGAGAGACAGTGTTTGTAAAAACATACCCATCTTGAGGCACCAGGGTCAGCAGCTGGCAAACAAATTGCAGTGCACCTTTGTCGACATCCCCTCCGGAGCCTTTCCTCGCAAATTCACGGAGTTCCAAATCAAGCAGGGTCTCAGAGCAGTGCTGGAGGGGCTAAAGCATAGCTTTGAGGTCTTGGCGCCACTGCCATTTATCAAAGACATGTCAGAGATGGACCTTAGAATAGTCATGTGCGCCATGTGCTGGGATCCCTTCAGCGTTGACCTCATCCTCTCGCCCTTTCTAGACTCGCATTGCTGTAGCGCTGGACAGCCTGGTCAGAGCAACACACTGATACTGGATAAGATCATAGGGGACAGCAGGAGGAGGATCCAGGTCACCGTCCTCTCCTACCACTCCGCCATTGGTGTTCGTAAAGATGAACTAGTGCATGGCTATATTTTGGTCTACTCTGCCAAACGCAAAGCTTCCATGGCGACCCTGCGCGCCTTCCTGGCAGAAGTCCAGGATGTAATCCCCGTGCAGATGGTGGCAATCACAGACAGCCAGGCGGATTTCTTTGAGAATGATGCCATCAAGGAGTTGATGACCGAGGGGGAGCACATTGCCACAGAGATTGCTGCCAAGTTTACGGCCCTCTACTCGCTGTCCCAGTATCATCGACAGACTGAGGTTTTCACCCCTTTTTTCAATGAAGTGCTAGAGAAGAAGCCTAACATTGAGAGCTCCTTCCTGTTTGACAGCTCGTCACGTGAGTGCACCACAGGAGCCAGTGAGGATGTCTTCCCCACGTCTCCCCATAGCCACTCCCCAGCTTACAACACTTACTACCCAGAGTCTGACGATGATAATGAGGCCCCCCCACCTTATAGTCCAATAGGCGATGATGTTCAGCTTCTCCCCACACCCAGTGAGCGGGCTAAATACAGGATCGACCTCGAGGGCAATGAGTACCCAGTCCATAGCACACCTGTCGGAGACCATGAACGCAACCACAAAGTGCCTCCACCCGTCCGGCCCAAACCAGTGCTCCCCAGGCCTAATGTTAAAAAGCTGGACCCCAACCTGCTCAAAACCATTGAGGCTGGTATGCGAAGTAATCGAAGAATGCCACGTGCCCCAGTGATGCACACTGAAGATGTGGAGCCATCAGACAACTATGCAGACCCTGTGGACACCCTACTCAGACCCAGGGGCTTCCACAATGACGACATATATGCTGTGCCTGAAGATGCACACAATCGCCTGATCAAAATAAAGAACTCTTTTGGTGGGTTACACATTCTCCACGGAGGAGGAGAGGAAGAGAATGGGTTTGATCGGAAATCCCAGGCTGCAAGGCGGCCATCAAAATATAAAGATCGCTCAAAAATCCTTTTCAGCAAGACGAAAGCCTACCAAAGACGATTCCACTCGGACAGTGATGGAGAGGAGACCGGCCCGGCCACTCAGAAAAAGAAAAACAGAAGAGCCCATCGGGGCAGCGAGGAGGACCCGCTGCTCTCTCCCGTCGACCCTTGGAAGGGTGGGATTGATAATCCTGCAATCACCTCCGACCCAGAGCAGGAGGACAAGAAGCTGAAAAAGAAGAAGACGCCCAAGACGCCAAAAGAATCCAAGAAGGTGAGACTTGTCTGTCATGATAGATTAACTTTTCAAGAACCACATTTATTTTGTTTCTTTTTTTAGGAAATAAGATACTTTGAAAATGCTTTACAGAACAGGGAGGTCAAACAAAAGATTTTTTTTCTGTCTGAGAATGAGTGAAATAGCACTTTATTGCACTGAATATGGGAGAGAGCGAGAGACTGATAGAGTGCATGGGTAAATGAGCACAGAAAAGACTGCATATAGTAGGGGGTGAGCAGATGTGTGTGGGTGTGAGCGAATTTTGTTGGCCTGAGACTCATCTGGAGAACAAACTAATTTGATAATTTATTGATTGGCCCCATTGCTAAAGTAGTTTATGAGCCTCCACACCTTGCAGGCCCTAGACAAGCAATAAAGGTGCTTGATAAAAGACACACTGTTAAAGACAGTTGGTGTCTGTATAATTTCAGAGCCAAGACTGTGTCTTTGACAGCTCTTTAAAGGCTTGCCTGAAACTTCTGACGACATCCAGACATGGTGTGTTCCTTAGAACCAAGATGAAAATGCTTTGTGCACATTATTACTGTTAGAGCAACATTTTATTGTGGTGAAAAGCTGAAAATTTTAAAATCACGCATGCACAAATCAAACAGCCGTGTTTAAAATGAAGTAAAAAGCATGCATTAGTATGCAATGCATGCTCACGCCCACACATGAACATACTTCAGTATATAAATTCCTAGTTAATTACTTACAGGTATAGCGCTATTTGTGATATATTACAGACGGGAAATGGAGGTACTGTTAATGTCATTTTCTGTTCCAAAGTAAATTTTAGGTGATCAGAGTGGATAAATATTCTGCAGACATGTTTGAGAACTGTTAAAACAAACATTGTCATTTAAAAAAATTCTTAAGCAGGGACATCTGCTTTTGATTGAAGATGTTTGTAGTCTTGAAAAGAAGGCAACTGGACTTGTTTAGGGTTTTTTTGGAAGATGTTTCGCCTCTCTTCCCAAGGGACTTCTACATTTTTAGAACATCTAATGGAGAGTTCCAGTAAACCCCTAGTGGGGGCTGTCCTCCTCAAGTTAAACAGCATAGTGTGTGTGGTGCAGTGAGGAGTGCTCAGACAACTACATATGAGAGACCAAACAGCCACTCCACAAACGCATAGCACATCATAGGAGAGCCACCTCAACAGAACAGCTGTACACGTCTGCTTAAAGGAGAAAGAACACACCTTTGTGTTCACTTTTTGAATAGAGAAAACAGATGATTTGAAAAGGCAAAGGTGGAAATCTACACCTACTTTTAGCGACCATCACTGAACAGAGGTGGTGGCTTGCGGCAGTAGCTATCAATCATTTACAGTGCAGTCCTGCGATGCCTTCCCCTGTGTTGCAACCCCCATTCACACCTTGCCTCAGGTGACCTCAGTGACTCATTTGATGGTGCGGTAGGGCAATGTCTCACAGTGGTTTCACCTGTTGGTTGATAACTTGAATGACCCACACTTTTTTATTACACCGTGGAAACAAAAACGTTTTGAAACATCTTCAAAAAAACCTGAAGAAGTTGAGGTTTTTTTTCAAGCTCTCAAGACTATTTGCACAGACAAAACACATAAAAATGCTTCAGAGCAAGTCAGCAACCATGGAAGCACAGATCAGATAATAAAGTGCAAATCAGTAGAGGAAGAGCCACCGGCGCTACATGGGCATCATAAAAGGGAATTGTTGGAATATTCAAACCATCTTAAATAATCAGAGAGGAGAGCGAAAGCCAGACCAGGAAGTACAAAACGGAAGGTATTTAGTCACCGTTCTGGCCAATTAGAGTGAATCTCGAACTGCTGTAGGCATGACAACACTTTGAAGAGCAGAAGAGTGTGGGAAATCAAAGCTAACGTTGCACCTTGTTACACATCCCAGCTTCAGTCTGAATGACTTGTTTTGTCTCTTGTTTTTGTCTTTGGTGTTCCTTGTCTTCTTCTACATGCTGTCTCCCACTCGAATGCCCTTCATCCCACTAATTTTCTTTCTGATCTATTCCCCGATTACCCTCCTCCTCCTCCACCTTTTCTCCTGAGATAATGTTCTGCCTCCTCTTCACCCTCTCTCCTCCTCCATCTTTGTTGTCCCTGGTGTCTATTTCTCAATTGCCCCTTCATTCCTTTACTGTTTTTTTATGTCATTTTCCCGGTTTTGTTCCTACTGTTCCTACTGTTTTTCCATTTTGTTTTTCCACCCCTTGTCTTCATTCTCTTTTTTAAACCTTTTGTTCACTTCTCCATGTTTTCTTTTTCCTCTCTGCTTCCTCTTTTCCTTCCTCTTTTCTTCTATTGAATTCCTCCTCTTTTCTCAACTTGCTCTTATTTATTATCCTCTCTTCTCCCCATCATTCCTTCCTCACCCACTACTATTTTTTCTATTTATTGATTTTATTTTGCATTCAATTATCTTCATACACGCTGTGATCTTTGCCATCTCATCTCTGTTTTTCATTCTTTTATTTGCTATCTTAGCCGAAATCCTCCAAGCCCCCCAAACCGCTGTACCCACCCACTCGAAGAACCTGGGAGAGCAACTACTTTGGCGTTCCCTTGCAGAACCTAGTAACCCCGGATCGCCCCATCCCACTTTTCATCGATAAATGTGTCGACTACATAGAGCGCACAGGTGAGTCATGCGTTTTCTCTATTTTTTCTTCCCTTAATTCCTATAATTCCCTCTGTTCTTTCATTTTCTACCTCTTTTATGTCATTTTGCAATCATATTTTCTTTTTTATTTTATTTTTTGGGTTGTTTTAGAACTCTTGCATGGCGTGTATGTGTTTTTCAGGCACTGATTTCAAATGAGTAATTGAGCAGGATGAAGGATGGAGGGAATGGGGGAGGTGCAGTGATATATGGTGGGAGGTCAGCCAGCCTGCCAGTCAATACAAGTTAACTTAAATTGAATATGCTTTATTGGCGTGGCATTTGATTTCTTGCCAAAGCGCTGCTGGAATGATTACAAATAAGATGCTGAAAGATTACCGAGATCAAAAAACTGATTAAGGAATGGCAGTGGAGAAATGTACACCAGTACGTGCAATCCATTAATCAGCCTTGCTTAGGAAAGGAGAAAAGAAAATGAGACGTTACCGGTAAGAACATGCACAGATAATTGCAGATGTGAAAAATGTTTGATTGCACAGTGACTGGTAGAGTGTGTTTGGGTTATTCAATTTTGTTGTGTCTCAAATAATTGGTGTAACAAAAACAAGGTTAAGTATTTGCCGCTGCTGTAATGTGAAGATGTGCTGCTTTTCATTATATTTACATATCTTTGTTGAGATTAAGTTCGTTGATTAATAGGGAAATGGTTATACTCGTTCATCACTACTTAAAATGGTCATTAGGTTCAACTATAAATAGAAATACTGACTCACTGCATTCAGCCTCATGGTCAAAGGTTCATTTTGTTCATTTTGAATCAGTGGAAAATACTTTTACAAGCCAACTGCTCTCAAAAGCCCCCTTAAAACCTGTCAACTACCCAATCCCAAAAGTCCGTGGTTACATCTGAAGCAGCAGCTGCTAGTGACCGATGGGCTGACCGATGCAAATATCAATAGTATCGATACCGAGGCTGATATTTTATTGAATCAGTACCAGCAGAATAAAATCTATACTTTGTTTTAGGGCTGGGCCATATCATACTGTTCACGGTAATACCAGTATAATGTTGGGCAACGATAAGAAAATGAAATATTGCGATAGAATATAGGTAAAACGTGCATGCGCAGTGCTTTTGTTTTC